GTTAGCAGAGATCACTTTTACCCCCTCTAGGGGGCAGGCCAGGGGACTGAGGAGGAAGGGCTGAGTGCCCAGCTTCTTTTAGCTGCTTCTCAGGTCAGAAAATTATCCCTGGACTCTCACACCCCTGATCACCGTCACCTCCCTGGGGTCTGACCCAAAGCCTCCAGGCCGGGCGTCTGTCCTGGGATGGCTCAGCAGGGCTGCGGGCCTTCCAGGAGCCTGGACACAGGGCTGAGCTGGGCCCTCTGAGACGCAAGTGACAACTCTTGACTCAGCAGGTGCAGGGCCATGGTCCCGACCTCTTCCCCCTCCTCCTTCACCCCCCTCTGTGTCACCATGCATGTACAAGTGTCCATTGTCACGTTTCATTAGACGTGGTTCCGTGGGGTCAGGATGCATGTGCGGTGCCTCTGGTGTGATGGGTTCCTTGTTCAATGGGCTCCTGCTTCGGGCGATTCACACCAGCTCCCAGTCTCACCCACACTGGTGTGTGTGTCCCTTCCTCCGCGCCCCTCTCCACACAGACTCGCTCTGTGGGCTGTCCACTGTTTGGTCCTTCTAAAATGTTGCATCAGGGCTTTAACTGACCTGGGAAAAGCTCCAGAAATCCACCTGACTGAGACCCCAGCTTCAGGCCCCATGTGCTCTGTGCGGGTCCCCAGACCCCTGGACTTCACATAGGTCGTGACCTCTGGGTACCAGACATTGCGGTCTCTCCTTTCAGGCTGAACTTGTTCCTGACCAAGGACAACCTGGTGACCAGAGCTGGACCTGAGCAGGGAGAATCCTCTTCACTCATGACCTCCTAAAGTGTCTGTGCTGCTCCAGGCAGGGACCAGAGCTTCTGCCTGTGCCCTCTTCCCCTGAGATGGCCCTGAGCAGAGCAGCTGCAGCTCCTGGGACCGAGAGCACCTGCAGGTGGGAATAAGAGGCAGAGGGTAGCAGGTCACGGTGTCCCTTTCCTTTTCAGAGGTCCCTTCCAACAGTGAGGTGATGTGCATTTCAGGTAAAGCACTCAAAGGTGCCTGTCAGGGTCCAGGAGTGACGCTGTGTGATTCTGACTGTCACAATGTGGTCATTGGGTCTCAGGAGACAGATGGAACTTCCTGAAGTGCCTGCACTGGGCCTTGGAACTGAGGATACCAGGGCTGGTCTCCCTCTGAGGGAGCCTAATAGTCAGCCTCGTCCTCAGCCTGAGCCTTGCTGATGGTCAGGGTGTTCCAATCCTCTGAGTCAGAACTAGAGAATTGGTCTGGGATCACTGAGGGCCGATTGTTGTCACCATACAGGACTGTTACAGCCCCAGCTTCTGCCCAGGCTGCTCCTGGATGCAGCTCTGCTGCCCCCTGCTGGTGGGAGAACTCAGACCTGGAGCTTAAGGCTTGCAGGTCACCCAGAGTGCTTGTCACCTGAGAGAGTGTGACCCCTGCCTTGTGCAGCTCTGCTCTGAGAGGTCACAACAGGTTCACAGGAAGGTGGGAGGTGCAGTTGATGGTCTCCTCCACACGGGTTTGAGGAATTTGGTTGTGATGTGTGTTGGAGCTGCTTTCTTTATGTTTTAGGTGCTGGGGTGTGTCGGGTTTCTTAGATCTGTGGGTTCCTAATGCTCATCAAAACTAGAACGTTCTGGTCCATGTTTCTTCAAACATTTTTCCTTTCTATCCACCCCACCCTTCACATGTGTTCAGGATCCCAGGCAGCCGTCAGATCCCGCGGCCTCAGGAGCTCAGAGCAGGAGGACAGTTCTGGGGACTGATTCAGAGCCGTGGGCCCGTGAGTGACACAGCCTCCATCACGTGGACATGCAGTGTCCTTCACCGCTGCGTGGATGTCTCCCCCTGTGTCCTTCATTCAGGCCCTGTGTCCCTACTCACACCCTGGCCTTGAAATCCCCAGCATATCCTGGTCCTGCCGGCCCTGAATGCACTGCTGTCCCGCCCTCTGCAGAGCTGGCTGAGGGTGGGGAAGAGGGGGAATCCTGGGGATCTCAGACCTGGGGCCTGAGTCAGACCAGCTCATGGCCTTGTCTCTGGGTATATTTGGGGTGAAAGAGAGTGTGACACAGTCAGTGGTTTTTGTCTCACTTCCCTGCCTGCTTGTGTCACTGTGAGCATAACCACTGTTGTCCCACACTGCACAGTAATAGTCAGCCTCGTCCCTCAGCCTGAGCCCCGCTGATGGTCAGGGTGTTCCAGTCCTCTGACTCAGAACTAGAGAATCGGTCTGGGATCCCTGAGGGCCGATTGTTGTCACCATAGACGACTGTTACAGGGGCCTGGCCTGGCTTCTGCTGTAACCAGGAAGGATAAGTAATTTTTAAGGCCTCTGCCTGGCAGTTGATGCTGGTCGTCTGTCCCAAGGTCACAGACACTGCTGAGGACTGAGTAACTTCAGAAGAGGCCACCAAACCTGTAAGAGAGGACAAGAGAGTGAGTGTGAAGATGAGGGTCTCCTTCCTGGACGGCGCACACCCTGCAGCATCCCCTGTGCTGAGTGAATGTCAGGGCCAGGTTGCTCCTGGTTTCTTTAGGATCTTAGCCTTGGGAGTCAGCACCTGTGCAGAGAGTGAGGAGGGAGAGCAGGAGAGGGGTCCAGGCCATGGTGGAGAAGCCCCAGGATCTTCCTCTGACCCACAGCTGACGATGTGGCTTCGGGGCCTGTCTTATCCTGCATAAGGGGCTCCATGCAAATCCACTTCCTTCCCCTTGTGGCCTTGCTGAGTGGCACCCGCTGGGCAGAGAGCAGCTGGGGCCAGTGGAGGGTTTAAAGCTGGGTCCTCATGTCCAGGTCTGCGCCCGGGTTGCTCAGAGCTCTCTGTGGTGTTCAGGGGACAGTGCTGACCCCTAACCAGCCCCTGCACCCACAGGTGGGCTGAGTCTTCTCTCTGGTCTTAGGGAGAAGGCTCAGTCCCCTCCAGTGATGAGATCACAGTGCAGTGTGGGGTGGGGGTGCTGGAAACAGGACCAGTAGGGACAGTGGTCAAGCTGGTGTCAGAGGCTGGATTTGCTCCAGGACACAGTGACACTGGTCACGTGTCTCTGGGGGAGTTTTTATTATGTTTTTGAAAAATTAGAAAATCTTTTGCATCTTGGTCTTGGCAAAAGATCTTGGACTTCATAGGAATCCTTGATATGTAAAAAGAAAGAAAATAAGTGGAAACCTTTTAAAATTAAAAAGTTTGTCCTACAAAAGGCCCTTGTGGAGCTAATTTAAGAAAACAATAAAGTGGGAAAAAAACACTTGGCAATCCCAACCCATCAAGGAACCATGTGTATAAAGTTCCAAAAGTAATACGCTAAGCAAATAGCCCTGGCCAGGGGGCTTAGTTGGTTGGAGCATCATCCTCTGATCATAAGGTTGTGGGTTTGATACCCTGTCTGGGGGATTACAAGAGGCAACCAAATAATGCTTCTTTCTCTCACTGTTGTTTCTCTCTCTCCCTTCCTCTGTGTGCCTTTGTCTGTCACTAAAAGCAATGAAAAAAAAAAAGTCCTTGGGTGAGGAAAGTAAAGAAAGAAAGAAAGGAAGAAAGAAAGAAAGAAAGAGGAAAGAAAGAAAGAAGAAGAAAAAGTGTATAAGAATAAATACATGTTCACACACCCACAAACAGGAGGATCCAAATTTTTAAAAATATCTGTAGATCTGATCCAACACTTCACCAACAAAGAAGATGCACATGTGAAAAATAGGCACCTGAAGATCTGGTCACCACCACAAGTCACTAAGGTGATGAACACGACAGACAGATACAGAGGCACACACACCACGTGGAACAGGAAGAAAGTGGAGGAAGGGGTGCGTGACACGGGGTCAGGTAAGACAGGGTCAGCTGCTCTGGAGGGATGACACAGAACATGACTAACAGGGAGAAACCCAGATTTCACCAGAGTGACAGACAGACAGACAGACAGAGGCAGAGAGTGACAGTCTGAGAGAAGCAGAATGCACCAAGGGAAGGGGACAGCTCACCACACACACTCTCACTTTCGGCCCAGCCTGCGTGTCACCCCCTCAGCCACATCCCCTCCGGCTGCCTCCAAGGGCAGGTCCTGGAACCTGTGTCAGCTGCTCCGTGGAGTTACTGTCAAGAGCTCAGCAGGCTTTAATTATTCCCCTACTGTACCAGTGACACCGTGTGATGTGGTTCTGGTAAAAAGGTTCTGGTATTTCAGTTCCTGGGAAAGTCAGTAGAATATCAACACATCCTGTCACCATCCCCCCACAGATGCGGCTGAGTCCAGTGACCCACAGGCAGAGACTGGAGGTAGGAGGTGGTCAACGTATTTTCGACCACAGGATTCCCATCCCCCGTGTCCCAGTGGACATTGTCCTGGCCTGTCCCTAGAAAACTCCCGTGGGCAGACGTGGAGCCTTCCTTGGCACCACAGGCTGAGAGTCTGGCACAGCTGGGGGACCCAGCCTGTGCTCCACGCGGGTCCTACCCCCAGACCTCCCAACAGGCACCCAGTTCCCTCCCCGACCCAGCTCTGCTTCCAACTCGGCATCAGGTCTCTCAGTCCTGCCTCTGCTCAGGGACAAATGCTTCCTGTCAGACCTCAGTCCTGACAGTGCTCCTGCTTCACTCCCAGGTGTCCTGAGTCAAAACAGGCAGTGTTGCCACTTCCAAGGTCAACCCTGGAACACCAAGGTCTACGTTCATTCCTTGAGAAGAACCCCAAGATGGGAGCAAAGGCCAGATGGCACCTGGGGCCAGGCATCTCAGCCCAGCCACTCGCTCAGGGTCATGTTCCTGCCTGGGCTGCTCGGGTGTCACAGAGTCCTGCCTACAGCCTTTGATTGGGGTAAACAGGGCATTGCTTTGTGAAAATGACCTGCACTGTGACTATACCTGAGATTTTCAAATGGTGATTTGAGGAGGAAGTACAGGACGATGGGATTTGCAGGGGAAGATGTAAATGTCTCAGGGTCCTGGCCAAGGACAGGGAGCAGCTTAGCCCAAGTCCCAGTGGGGGAGAGGATGGGGGATGGAGGTGTGGGCCTCACTCCTCTTTGGTCTGTGTCTCTGCAGCTTCTGTGAAAAGGCTGTTGTGTGTGTGGCTCTCACCACAGACATAGTCAGTCTCGTCCTCAGACTGGAGGCTGGAGATGGTTAAGTAGCAGTTGGCCCCAGAGCTGGAGCCCGAGAAGTCATCAGGGATCCTGTCCCCCTTCTTCTGGCTTCCATCACTCTTAATGTACATCACGTACAGAGAGCCATTTCCCAGTCTCTGTTGATACCAGGGAATGGTGTAGCTGCTGTGCTCACTGCTGAGGGTGCATGGGGGCTGGGTCAGCACAGGTGCAGCACAGAGACCTGCAGACACAAAACACGGAGATGATGCCCAGGCACCCAGACTGGACAGACGCCCCTTGGGACTGGGCTTAGAAGGAAACTGTTGGGGAGTGGGACCCCTGTGTGTCCAGGGATAGTCTGACCTGTGGAGAAAACCAGGGGAAGGAGGGAGAAGGGAGCCCAGTCCATGGTGGGAGGGGCTTCCAGGAGCTCTGCCCTGAGGCTGCCCAGCTGGCCCTGGCCTCTCCAAGTCCCTGTCTTATCCTCTGTCCATTGTAGCTCAACAGGGAGGAGCATGAATGCAAATGTGTCTCAGATCTTCTCTCAACCTCAAGCCTGACAATCTCCTGCTGGTAATTTCCAGAGGAGGAGGATGGTCCAGGTGTTGGTATCATTAAGAGTTGATTTTACCCAATAAAACTGTCTCCAAAGAAGCATCAGTCACACCCTTTGCACTGAGCACAGCCCAGGGTCTTGCACTATCAGAGATCCCCAGGCAAGACCCACAGTGCCCCCTGGTGCCCCCAGGATGAATGTCATTCTCTATGCGAGTAGCTCAACCTACTGACTACTTTGGAGGCCTTAATAGGTGTCACATGGTTGGTGAGTGTTTGACCTGCACCCCTCACCAGACATCATAATTATCCAGCATCATCCTTCTGCTAATGTTCTGTCCAAAGCAGGGGGGGCCATCCTTGCAAGGTTATGATTTCCCCAGAGTCCCCCCAGACAGTGATGCTGAGTCAAGGCTCCAATCCAGGGATGCAGGAGCTGGACCTCAGGGCCTGACCTGTGAATCCCCTCCCTGCTCAGCCCTTCTCCATGTGCCTTATCCTGTTCCTCTCCTGTCCCACGTCCCCGTCTCCTGAGTCCCTGAGTCACAGCCCTGCCTTCTGTGTGCAGGTGCTCCGTCCCCCTGAGTCTGCTCTGAAGTGCGCTCAGATTTTTCTCGGTGTTGGAATCTGTGTTTCCCAGTGAAACCCGGGTCTCTTTGTGCACGGAGGTGGGGCTACGTCCCACCACCAAAGACAACACAGTGAGACATTGGGGATCAGGCTGGGATCCTTGGGAGAATTGGTACAGAATGCCTTTGTGACATTGTCAAGGCCATTGAGTTTGCATGACTATTAGGATAGGAGGAGAAATCTTTTAATATTAATAAATATGATTGCCAAGGCACATTGTGGCCTAATATCAGAAACAAATGTATTTGTTTTCACACCAGTACTGCTGAGAATCAAATGTAATTAGTTCACCTGGGAAATTCTGGAGGCCTTGTCCTTGGAGGTGATGGTGCAGCCCGGCTGTGACTCATGTGCACAGACAGACAGACAGACCCCTGACTCACTCCCTGAGTTTGGTCTGAGAGACAGTGGAGAGGGGACAAGTGTCTGGTGCCTGAGACACGCCCCCACTGTCCCCAGCTGAGGGGACCACAGAAGCTCCTCTCTGCCCTTCCCACCCCGGGGTGTCCATTCCTCACATCACACCTCAGGGTCCCCATGGGGCCCGCTGGCCCCTCCTGCAGGCCAGTGCTCACACCTTTGCTGTGGGTCTCCTGACCCCCTGGGAGGTCAGCTGTGAGTGCCATCCTGGAAGATTTCATCTTCAAACCATGACCTGTGCTTGTGAGTTAGGCAAATGTATCCCGCTGTGGGAAATAGCAACTGACACTAAATCAGTAAAATCCATCTAGTACCCTCCTTCCCTCTAGATCTCTGCACAAAATGTAACCTTATGACTTGTGTTGATGTTTATGGGAATGATCTGCCCACTGAAGGGGTTTCTTGTAGCAACAACTATTTACAAATGTAGATAGACTGTGTCATTCTTTACACTAGTAATAAAAATGTGCTCCATGGCTCAGAATCATGTTTAAAATTGTTCTTGTATTTAATATCTGGTCCTTGAGGATAGGAGTACTGTGAACACGATATAATAATTTCCTCATTTTGTCCTCAATATTTCTGGTTTAGTTGGCAAGTGAAGCAGACATTCCCCCCCCAGTGATGTCTGGTCACAGGATCCCTGCCCTCCTCATGTTCTGGTGGCTGCAAGGGATGCACTACAGGGTCAGTGACATTGTCCTCTGCCCCGCAGCCCAACGAGGACACGTCTCCCATCTGACCTGCTCTGACCAATGTGGTGTCCACCAGCCACATGCACCTACTGAGGATGAAATGTGGGCGGTTCCAGTAGGAGGTGCTGTAGTCGGAAACACCCACCAGATTTTAAGATTTATTATGAAATAATGTAAAATTATCCACATTTTAATATTTAATTTGTACAGAAACATTTCCACTAACAGAATTAAACAGAATGTATCCTGTAAATTAATCCCACCCATTTCCTGTCCTCCAGCTGTCACAAGGCCTGAGTCACACCCAGAGACAGTGCTCAACCAGGGAGACAGTTCCCTGCCACCATCCTGCTCCCAGGGAGGGCCGAGCTGAGAGCAGCCAGGGGCCTGCAGCTGTGATGGGTGGGCGAGTGGGACCCGACTGGGCACCAGGGGGATCTCACAGTGTCTGCTGCACTGGTCGGCTCCATTCAGAGTCCTGGGCGGCCTCGGAGCCCGGGCCTCAGGAACTCAGCTGAGCTGGCAGCTCTGGGGATGAATCCAGAGCATTTTCACAGGGAGCAGCCCAGTCACGATAATATGGATTGCAGGTCCGTCACTTCTGGACACAGGACTCAAGAAGGCTGTCCTTTTGTGAGGCCCTCTTTTTGGAATTGAGTCTGTTGCACAGACACATCAGGACAGCCTGGTCCTGCCAGCCCTGAATCCAGTCCTCATCCCACCCTCTGCACAGCTGCCTGAGGCTGCGAGGAGGGGCCACTGGGAGACCTGAGAAAGGGAACCTGGGCCAAGGCTGCTCATGGCTTTGTCTGCAGTCCTCCTGGGGGCCTGAGGAGAGTGTACACAGACTGAGGTTTTTGTCTCACTTCCCTCGTCTGCCTGTGCTACTATGAGTATTAGTACCACTGCTATATGCTGCACAGTAATAGTCAGCCTCGTCCTGGGCCTGGGCCCCGCTGATGGTCAGGGTGGCCGTGTTCCCCGAGTTGGAGCCTGAGAACCGGTCAGGGATCCCTGAGGGCCGTTTGCTATCCCTGTAGATGACGGTTACAGGGGCCTGGCTGGGCTTCTGCTGGTACCAGTCAACATTTTTACCTCCAATGTTGTCTCCCCCACAGGTGATCCTGGCTGTCTGTCCTGGCTGCACTGACATCGAGGGTGGCTGTGTCACCTCATAGGAGGCCACAGACCCTGCAAGAGAGAAAAGGAGAGGTGGGCTTAAGGATGAAGGACCCCTTCCCAGGAAACCCGGGCCTGCCCTTGTTGGAGAAATCTACATGGATTCTGAGACTGGGCCATGAGTCTCACCCCAAGTGTCCCACTGATGTAGCTGACCCATGAAGCCTGTGAAGAAATGGGGACCCTCCTGTCTGGTTCTCCTGGCAGGTGCAGCCCCTCATGCTCCCTGAGACCAGTGAGCACAGTGGAGGGAACGGCACCCCCATCCCCTCATCCTGCAGCTGGGTCAGGGGCACCTGAAGCTCATAGGCATGCTGCAGAGCTCAGAATCAGGGTCAGGCCTGTCCAGATCCCCTGGGGTTGGAGGGAGGTTGAGAGTCTGGGGCTGCAGCACCTGTGCAGTGAGCGAGGAGGCCAAGGAGGAGAGGGGTCCAGGCCATGGTGGAGGTGCCCTGCTTCTGCTCCCTGAGGCCCCAGGCTGGGCAGCTCTCCTCCCAGGCCTCTCTTATCCCCTTGCTGGAGAGACAGCTGCTGGGTATGCAAATCAGCCAGGGCTCAGGGGAGCTGCCTGAGGAGCTGTGTGGCTCCTGATGGGGGCTCAACCTGGGAGACTCAGGGAAGGGCAGGGTGGTCCCTGCAGACCCCACCTCATTCCCAGGGCATCCAGTTCATCCCCTGGTGCCACAGCATGGACTGACATCTCCACCCCAGACTGTCTCATGGCCTCACTCCTGGGCTGGCCTGGTCCCAGCAGAGCTCAGAGGTGATGTCTGTCCACAAGTTCTGCATCCCACTATAGAGGGTTAACTGTAGCGGTGATGATATGAGCCTGAGGTCTCAGCAGAGTCCCACCCCAGTGACAGTGTGTGAGCATCAGAGCCTGAAGGACATCCCCCCTTGCTCAGGGAACATGCAGCACTTGGAGCCCCTGAGATGCTGTCAGTTTTTAACTTGGTTCCAACTCCTGGGACAGGTGACAGATGCTGTGCCCCATGTCCCCAGTTTGCACCAGTGCCAGGGTCAGCCCCAGTGCTAGAAGAGGTGTGACAGTTACAGAGTGTGAGCACAAATGGGGTGTTCAGGACAGGAATGAATTACCCTGACCTGTGATGGTAAAACAGGCCAATTGTACAAGAACCCAATCTGAGAGACTCACAGTCAGTATGTTATGTCATCAGTGTCAAAGGTGATAATGTAGAAAACATACCACTCTTTTTAAAAATGGGACATACTGGTTAATATTTCTCTGTTTTACCACAATATTTTCATTATTAATAAAGGGATAGAGAGTCCAAAACATAAATTATAATAATCCCCCTGCATGGTAGAATTCCTCAGGCCCCAGGCCCTCCCAGTCTCCAGGAGGCTTTGGCAGGTGGTCTCTGCTGCCCCCCTGGTGGCCTCTCCCACACTGGCTGCTGGAGGAGCAGGTGTGTGGTCTGTCCAGGTGCAGAGTCTGAACCCACTGCTCAGGTGGTAATTCCCTGATCCAGGGACTGAGGGTCCCAGGGGGGATTGGTATTCTCTCCATAACTACTGCTCGGCATCAAGACCAGGCACAGGAGGCTCAGATCACCCATGGAAGTACAAATAGGCTCATTGGGAGGAGGAGAGGGCCGGCCCACCTGAAGCATCTCTGACATATCCCTTGGGTGGCAGTGTTCCTGGGTGTGGTTCTGGGGACAGAGGACTCAGAGGCTGCCTCTCCCTGATGCCCACTGCTAGTGCAGGTTGAAAACAGGGCGCTGGTGGCAATTGCCCCCAAAGACTGAGACAGGAGACACTCATCCAGCAAATGGTGATTCGGCCCCACTCTGCCTGCCAGACACTGCGTCCTGGGTGAGACATGTGAACGGGACCAGTCCTGCCTCAGAGATGCCAGTGTGCACATGGGGGCACACAGTGGACATGCTGGTGTGGGTGACACAGC